AATTGAACAAAGACTGAAGAAACTGGAGCAGATTTCATCTTTTTATTGACAAAATTCACGCACCATAAAATTCACCCTTTTAAAATGTCCCGTTCAGTTATTTTTTGTGTATTCACGAAGCTGTCCCACCGGCGGCACGGTCTAGCTCCAGGACATTTCCGTCGCCATCAAATACGACACCTGTCCCCACCTGCAGTCCCTTCCTACTCCCGTGTCACCCCAGTCCCGGGCCATCACGGCTCTGCTTCCCGTCCCTCTGTGGGTCTGCCTGTCCTGGACACCCGTGAAGACGGCGCCACACAATACGTGGTGTTTTGCGTCTAGCTTTCTTTCCTTCGGCAAGTTTTCAAGGCTCATCCATGTTACAGCAGGGACCACACTTCACAGTTTCCTTAAAAATATCCCATTGCTGAGATATACCCCATGCTGTTCACCCATTCCTCCCTGGGTCACGGTCATTCGGATCCTTTATACGTGTTGGTTGTTATGAATGATGCTGCTAGGGCATCGATGCGCGAGCGTTCGCATGTTTTCGCCACTCGTGGGGCAATGCCCAGCAACAACGTAGCGGGGCTCCGACTCCTCCACGGCGCAGCCAAGACTCATTACTGTCTGGCAGGTTTTAATTTCAGCAAGGAGGATTTTAATTACAACCTGGATTTTCCAGAGATGAAATGTTCACGTCTTTCTTAATGAACGCTTTGAGGTTATTCTGGTGAAGTATCAGCTGATTTTTTCCCTTTAGAAAAACGTAAAGGAGGGAACGCAAAACGAATTTAGAGCATGTCTGCATTTGTCTCTATGTGGGCTTTTAGCCCTCATTTAAAAGTGTGGCCTTTCCTTTGAAAGACGAGGAGCGTCATTCAAGAGTCTATACAGCAATGTATCTCATGAGGGACTCTGCTGGCACACACACAGGCCAACGACTCAGTGGAGGGGGCAGGGAGGGGAATAAAGCCTTGTGTCCACTCCTCTAACCCTGGGCCCAGAGGCAGGGACACTGGGGACCGCACTGCCCACCCAGGGGTGGAGCAGGTGGCTCTCCAGACTGTGTCCTGCAGTTCAAGTGACGGCAGTCCCAAAGCTTCAGTCTGGCCCCCTGGGAGTGGTCCGCAGACCGGGAGCTCCTGAGAAGCGCAGGCTGTCAGACCCACCCCCACATTCGCTGAATCAAAAGCCGCATTTCACAAGCTTCCCAGCTTGTTATACACTCAGACAGGAACGTTTGGGAAGATGACAAGTGGATGACAGGTTGAGAACCTGGAAGCCGAAGCCGTCACTCTCACCCAGCCTCCCATTGTTTCCAAGTTCTTTTGAAAACATAATCCCCTTAGCCTTAAAAACAATCTCAGTGGCTGTGTTCTGCAAGAAAGGAACCCACGCTGTTCTGAGTCGCATTACAATAGGGGGTGTTTAGCTCCGCTCCTGAAGCTCAGCTGGGCCCCTCCTCAGGGAGGACTCAAAGGCACAGAGGGAGCAGCAGCCCACGTAGACCTGCGTGATGCGCCTTTGATCCCTTTGCTGCTTGCTGATATTTGGAATTTCTCTGCTTCCGTCACTTGGAAACTCACCAAGGTTCCTGTGCTTAAGAGTTGTGTGGCTCCCAACTTCCCCGCCCTGCTCCCACCCGCCAGAGAAGGTCGGCTCACTGAGGTTCCTAGCAGCCTGCAGCAGCGGCCGGGTAGCGGTTGGAGGGACACGGGAGGGACTGGCAGAGGGAGGGTGAGTGGCCTGCAAGGCCCAGGTCCCACAGCTGGGTTTGCTGCCTTGCTGTTATGCCATCGTGATTCAGGTTCCCTCACCTCTAAACCATGTTCAAGGAAACTAAATAACATCATCATCGCCAATAACAGCAGCGTACTTATGAAAACACCATGCACTAGCTATTGTCCAAACTCATTACAACCCCAAGAAACCTAGGGGAGAGGGGTCCCTGTGATCATCCCCATTTTACAGAGGAGGAAACTGAGGCACAGAGACATTTAGAAACGTGCCCGGAGTCCCAGAACAAGTAGGGGGGCCTGGATTCTACCCTGGGCATCCCGCCTGCTGAGTGGGCCCTCCACCCCCATGCTGAGCAAATGCAGTGCCTGCTGAATCACTCTGCAGACACTATATAATATATAACTCACTGGCTGGGCTGCTCTTTAAAAAACAAAGTTGAAACTGGAAAAAAAAATGAAACTCTTTGGCTAAACCGCAAACGCGGGCCTCTCACCGGGCCAGAGGAAGGCCGCCAGGGCTCTCCAGTGGAAAGGAATGCAATCCAAGCGCCGAAGCAAACAGAGCCGCCACGGAGGTTTCATTTCCTACCAAACCACTCGGCGTGTTGTGCAAACCTTCCCGAAATAACTTGAGGAGAAGGCTGGGATGTTTCTCAAGGCTCTTAACCCGAAGAGGACTTGAACTGCTGCTCTCCAGAAGCCGCCACGGTGACGGCCTGGGAAGCTGCTGCTCGCTTTCAGAGTGACAGCAAACAACTCTCTGGCTCCGGATGCCAACTGAAACGCAGTGCTGGAGAAGTACAGACTCACAAGGCTACTTTGAAAAGACTGATTTTTTTTTAGGCACGGTCATTCGCACACATTGCACTCAGACCAAACTCGTCCTTACCCCCTTCACTCTACTCCAGCTCCTGATAGGACAAGAGCTGGCCGTGAGGTCAGGCACCATGACTCCACGACGGCAGGTCCAGGTCCTGCCACTGCCCCCGCACCAGGACGCAACGCCCCAAATCAAGCACACCACCGCACCCACACCAAGAAATGACCATACAACAAACCCCACCAGGATCAGCCACGCCAGACTCCCAGACGGTTCCAGAGGATAAACCAGTCTAACACCCGCATGAAGACTCTGAGGCTCCGAGAAGCTAGGACATGTGGGAAAGATCAGGACCCGAATCCACTGCTCCAACCTGCAGGGCGGTTTCCCCTGAATGGTTGGTACCTATGTCCCCTTCTTTCCTCATAAAAGCTCCTTCCTTCCAAGGCAGAGGGTCAGTCACTGGGGTCAGTAAGCCTCTGAGCTACTTAGTGCCAATAACCAGCTTTCCCTAATTCCCTAAGTGCCTCCGACTTTCCCGAACACCTAAAACTGCCCATCCTTTCATTGAGTTCCTTTAGTAAGACAGCTTTCTGGAGGGGAAAAATGATATTAAATCATATTCAAACAAGTCAGGGAAATGCGGTACTGAGAATTAGGATTTCGCCCAGAGTCCCCGGGGCCCACAGGCTGGCGTCTGCCCTCACCATCCAGCTCTCTCCCTTCACACCAAACACCTCCCTGTCACCTCTGCGCCTCGGCCTTGCAGTTCCCTGCGCCAGAGAGGCACAGGGCTCGGTCCCCCCTCCCCTCGGGAATCTGCTGGCACACAGGGGTCTGCTCAGAGGGCCTCCCTTCCCGCCTTTCCTCAGAGTGGCCCGGCGTCTTCCCGGCCCTCCGTGCACCTGTGGTCACACGCAAGTGGCACGCGTTTGCTGTCTGTGTGCCCGTCAGACCGACTGCACACCCCCCCGAGGGCAGAGAATTTGTCTCGTCTGTCGCAATTTTCCCAGCAGATTTTTTTTTTGATAAGGCCAGTCTTTGGTTGTGAATTTTTTAATCTGAAGTTTCTACTTTGTGTCTCCTTAGATCAAGGCACACCCAGCAACGGGCAAAACCATGCTCTTGTCAGGTTCTAACGGGAGTTCTGACCAGAGAAGCTGTGTCTTCTGTGTAATTATAAGCTTGATGTTGCTTCCCGGTGTCTTACAGCAGTTCTCCAGGTGTGGTCCCTGGACCGGCGGTCAGCATCGGCGGGGGACTTGTTACAAATGCAAGTTCTCGGGCTCCAGCCCAGATCAGGGGTGGAGGCTAGCAAACTGTTCCAACAAGCCCCCCCTCCCCCCAGGGGATTCTGACTGAAGTCTAATTCTCAGGACCACTGGCACAGCAGGAAGGAGTGTGAACTAAACATCAGTATTGTTTGGTGTTGGTCTCAGCTCTGCCACCCCCAAGTATGTGACAATGGAGTTACTCGGATTCAGCAGCCTCAGTTTACTCATCTGTCCACGTGACCACTGAAGCCTTTGCCGGTTCTCAACGTCGGTGCTCCCCACCCAGCCCACCAGTTGTCTTACGGCACCTGTTTGCCGCAACATCTCAATTCTAACGAGGTCCCTGAGCTGAAAGGAGGCTCAGCCTGAACTGAATATTTCAGCGGGACAACCCTTAATCCTGAAGGATCTGCATTCCTACCTGATCGTAAGTAATCTGGGGGTGAGGAAGGAGGAAGGCGGTGCTTCCTGTCTGATACCTTCCCGTTACAAAAGGCTCGAAAACCAAGTCCTGCTCTGCCAGTGGGACCGACCCTCCCAGCCCAGGGAGAAGGGCCCCAGGGCAGAGGGGGCGTGTGGCTGCCGGGTTCTCAGCCATTTCAAAAGCAGGGGGCAAGAAAGACTCCCCTCACTGCTTCCGTGAGGCCCTGATGTGGCCGCAGTTGGAGAAATGAGAACATCGGTGGCCTTTCCCTGCTGAGTGTTCCAGATAGATGTCACCAAAGGTGGCCGGCATAAAAGACAGTAAAGGCTGCAAAAATGGGATCGCTGTCCTTGAAGTGCTCGCGATGGGCTCACGGTGTCAGCAGGGCCATTTTCTGGGGACAGAGATCCCCTGGGGACACAGGGAGGAGGCGGGGCTGAAAGGTCGCCTGTTCAGAGCTCAAGAAACCCCGCGCCTTTCATCAGCCGAGCGTCAGCGCTTCAGGACTGCCTGGTCCATAAATGGGGTCCGGAAATAGCCTCAGACATCCGGAAGTCTCCGCTAGGGCAAATGGTCCGTCTCTTGCTGTCACGGCAGACCCCCCGATGTTAGTCCCTAGCGCCGAGAACAGGTGATTTGCACGCACTCTCAAACCTCGCGAACCCACGTTTTCTTCTTCGTGAAGTAATTACTCAGGGTGATTGAGAGCCCTGGATGAGAAATACCAAAGGGAAAACGACAGGCCTCTACAATGCGGGAAAGCAGGAACTGAGATATTTATTGAATGAAGGACGCACAGGAAGGCCCCTGGCCCAGCATCGGGGCACTCAGTAGTAACGTGATTCATAACAATTCTCTTCTCACTACCTGGGTAGGACCGAGCTCCAGCCCTGAGAGTCTGAAACAGGATGAGATAAGGACGTAGGTCACTAAGACCATCCAATCCCAGATGGCTGGAGAGGCGGTGGCAGGAATGAGCTCCATCACCTTGGAAATTAGAAAGGGCTTCATGAAAGAAACGGCAAGTTGGGCCTTGAATGGCACGCGAGACTCGGTGGGATGGCTGGTGGTGGCGCGTGGTTTGGGAACGCGTGAATCTCAGGGACCCTGGCGAGGAGGGCGTGTTTCTGAAGGACAACCACGTGCTAAGCAGCCTTAGACGCCTCAGCCCCGAACTGCCTGGCTGCTGTCAGCGTGAGAGAGCCTCCTGCATCAGGTGCCGCTCTCCTGGGGTTAGACTGAGAGCGGGTCACCGCCTGCGTGTGCCGAGACCCACGCCCACCCGCCCTGCCCTGCTCTCCCTCACAGCGAACGACCCCATTTCCCAGGCTCTCCTGACCTCTGCGTGCGGGAGCAGGTCCAGCCAGCGGGGATCACAGCCAGAGGACATCACGGCCAGAGGACTGGAGGGAGGGAGCAAACCAGACTGCTCCAGCGCTGAACAATGATGGCCCATGCGAGCGTTCGAAAATCCTTCACTTTCAATATGCTCAATCCAGCTTTGAAAACAGTTTCAAAAGGAAACTGCCTGTGATCCCACCAATATTTCATCAGTGTAGTTCTCAATTTCCAACCAATTCTCATGAATGTGCACCACTTCTGTGGTTACAAGTCTTCCCTCTACAGCACAATTTTGTAATAAGATCTATTCAGCTTTAACATACAACACTATTTCCCTTTTAAAAGCTCATGAAAAAAAAGCTCATGAATTATATTCCTTTAACATCATTTACTTTAAGCCCAAATCTACCTTTCATTTTAATTTTATTTTGTACACGAGCATATCTCTCTCTCTCTCTCTCACACACACACACACACACACACACACGCACACGTGCACACCCTGGGCCTCCCTCAGCCCACCTGTAGCAGTCACGGAGTAGAACCTGTTGGCAAGCTTTGGGCTGGGAAGCCTGGGCTCTCACTGTGGAGTATCTAGAGCGCTGGTTCTCGGTCTGGTGCTTTGAAAACCCCGTGCTCACACTGCACCCCACGCTAATCACTCAGGTATCTCTGAGGCTAACACCCAGCGTTTTCCAACACTGTCCAGGTGATGCTAACGGGAGTCGAGTTGAGGACCACTGATCTAGTGTCGGGGGAGGGGGTGCCCTGAACTTCAACGGCAATAGGAAGCTCTTGAAGAGGAAAAGGAAACAATGGCCAGGGTGTTGCTGTTTTTCTTTTCAGTTGTAGATGGCTTCACGCTGTTACCAGCTCTAACACTGTCCTCCCCTTCCCCTGTGACCACCCCAATCCAGCCTGATCCTTCTTCAAGGCCACCTCACAGAGCACGGCAGGCGGGAAGCATTTCTCAGCTGCTATGGTGAGTCACCATCTCTCCCGTTGGAACTCCTTGCAGTTAAGCACTTACAGTTTAGCACTTAAACTGTAAGTGCTAAACTGTAGAACCTTCTAGTAGAAGAACCTTCTGTAGAAGAACCTTCTCTGGTCTTGTCTTCTCTGCTGGATGTTATGCACGAGACAAGGGCACTATTTTCTCCTTTTTTGTGTGAGATTACAAAACTGTTTGGAACATTTCAGGTGCGCGGAGCACCTCCCAACTGGCAGATGAATGACGCAAACACCAGGGCCCACTGGCCAGACAGGAGAGGGGTTCTGTCACCCTCAAAACTCTCTGTGACCAAAACCAGAGTGGCTCCGCCACGACAGCTATTATATCCGTCCGTGTATCTCTCTGCCAAAGACCAGCAGGCAGCGTTGAGGAAAGACAGGCTGATTTTGCCTGGAAGGGGAATTTGCGGAGAAGGAGGCCGCAATTACACACAAAGTCTGTCGTAGTTTTAGATAAATTAACCTGGCACAGAAATGATTCGATTTCCAAGACTAAACTGCGGCTATAAAATACCTAATATACCCCTATTCTGGGAAAACAGCAAGCGACCAAGTGCAGGAAGCCCCCAGCCAGAAAACCCCCTTATCGTATGCTCTGCAGAATTCAAGGATTACCCCACCCCCCATTTTATATTTAGGGTCCACAGAGTCATCTAAAAATACTTCCGCAGGTTCTTGCTTTCCAAGCCAAAATGATCAGGTTTCTGAAACGGGGCCCACGTACGCAGACCCGATCCATCCATCTGTCTGTGTGCACACGCCTGGGTGGGGTTTCTGCAAATGCTACAGTCCCGGCAGTGATTTTATTTAGTCTGGTTGCTCCAAAGACAAACACACATAACGTTAATTAAACGCACACCAAATGCAGGGGAAACCATCTTGAAACAATTAGCCTGCTCCATGGCAAGGGGCTGGGGGCTGGGGGCTGGGGCCCCCTCCCACCCTGCACCTCCACCGGGGAGAGAGAACAGACGGGCGGAGAGAAGCCAAGCCCGACTCCACAAACACGGGCTGAAACTCGCTGCCTGCCTCTCCTCTGTTCTCTTGCCATCCCAAGACACCACCCTTCCCTTCCTCTTTCCTAAAGGAATTCCAGCCATTCGATGGCTTTCCCTCTCTCTCTTTTCTTTAACCCCTCTCTGATCGGTGTTAGAGGTAGAAAGTTTTCAGACAAGGTTTTTATCTACCCCTAAAGGAAATCTTACAGGAAGGAACGGAAATCTTACAGGAAAGAACGGAAATAGATGAAGAATTACCAAACCACCCATCTGGTGATTGACCTTGGGGTGGGAAGCTCCTGGAGGCTGTCGGCTGCCACGGCCGCCTCTGCCACCTCATGCTTGGGACTTTCGGGTCGTCTGGTATTTAGGGAGAAAAGGCTGTGAGTATTTTCCTATTTAAATTCCACCGGAGGCTGGGAGCGCGGTGTCTGACTGTGACATTCACCAGGACAGCTCTTCTCCTCCTGGACCCCGAGTTAATTCACCCCCAACGAATGGATCCATGATGTTTTGCCAGCAAAGAGAGTATTTTCTCCATGAGAACCACCCCAGACCGTCACTCCCACGCATTCCGACCAAATGCCTCTTCTGTGCTTGGAAGCGTGGGCCATGCCGGCACAACCACGCAAATCGCATGAGCCCTGGCCTCAGCGAGCTTACTGGGTTGGAAGGGGTTCACGTCTTTCAGAAAACAGAGGTTTCTCCTAAGCTGTTGAGTCTTTTCTGTTGTTGCCCCTCTCCATGTAAGGAAATACACGAAATTCTGAATTCAGACTGTGGTAGTTCAAAGGGAAGGAACATCACAGTAGGGCTGGGAACATCAGAGAGCAAGGCGTCCTGGACCGGACACGGAAGCTGGGCAAACGTCTGGACTTTCTCACAACGGGGAGGGCAGGGAGCACACAGCGCCCCCTCCTGCCGAAGGCAAGCTCGAGGGAGTGCTGCGCTGCTAAGTAAGGGCAGGGCCAGCGGGCGCCCCTGAACGCCAAGATCAGGGCTCCGGGTTGTCAGGCAGTAGGAAAACACTGCACTGCTGAGCAAACTACAAAGCGGGTCACCATACAACCTCTAGAAAGCAGGCCTGCAGCCCAGTTTGGATATGGAGTGGGTAAATCAAAGGGTGAACTCGAACAAGCAGGCAGAGAATGAGGCCAAGTCCCGTCAAGGACCTGACTTTCAAGTGTGTGGCCTGGCCTGCGCCCTTGGGGGACTAAGGCGTCCCGCTCCAACTCTGGGCAGGACACTCCACGGGCCAGCGGGGCCGAGAGCTCCGGCAGAGGGGACACGCTGGGCTGGGCTGGGCTGGGCTGGATTCAGGACCATCTCAGAAGTCACCAGCAGTTCCCGTGCGACCAAACCAGTGCAGGCGGGAAGAGCAGGAACAAGAACAGGAAAGACTGCAGAGCCTGGGAAGAGTCTTCAGGTGTGAGGGAGACACGTATACGCCGAGGCAGGCACACACGGGCGAGGCCAACTCGAGCGCAGAAGCACCGACCTGCCAAGGTGAGAAGGCCCAAGCCAAGGGGCCAGCGCCGCTCGGGGCGCACTGTCATAAGGAGCCCCTGGCCTTGCGCTATTACACAATGCCAGTGACGACCCCTCTCCTTCTGAAGGCTTTGACTTGAAAAAAATATGAGCCCGGATAGATTTAATTCTGTGGTGCCTTTAAACATTAAATGCTCGTGGTTATCAGGTACTGATTTTAATCATCAAAAGGAATATTCCAAGCAGAAAAACTGTTCACAGATGATTAGTTATGAAAAACCTAGCACTGAAAAAAGAATGACCCTCCTTCTCCCTTTGTCATCCAGTTCTAACTTTCCGTGTTAAGTGCCATCGAAGGAAACGATGGTGGACCAGCAGGCGCCAAGGGAGACGCGTGAACTGGTTCTCGGGGTCACGTAGGCAAAGCTGTACACCTCAGGGGCCTTCGTTTCGTCACCTGTAAATGGAAGTGGTGACGTCTGCTGAACTGCTCTGCGCACTTCTACTGCTAGAAGGAGATGGAGGAGAGACTCACACTGCTGGCGGGGGGAGCCCCGAAACCACCAGGCCCAGTGCAAGCAGCCGGAGACCGAGAGCCCCACATTATAGGATTCTATTTATATAAAATACCCAGAATAGGCACATTTGCAGAGACAGAAAGCAGATTAGTGGTTGCCAGGGTGACGGAGAGGAGGGGAGGCTGGGAGGCTGGGGAGCGTTAGCACTCAGTGGGTGCGGGGTTTCATTTGGGGGAAGAAAGATTTCTGGAAGTAGAAAGTACAGACTGTTGTACAACATCGTCAATGTGCTTAGTGCCACTGAAATATATACTCTACTCCGGTTACGATGGTGAATTTTATGTTATATATATATTTTACCACAATAAAATGAACAAGAGAGAACAGAAAATAACTTCTAGCTGTGTACTCTCTACATAATAAATATCTTACTGATGAAAGGTATCGATTTATTCATTGATCACAACCGCGGCTGAGCTGCTAATCTAAATTTTCTATTTTCATTCTAGTGGTTACTGCCTCGGACAAAACTACCATAAACCGTCACCTCCTCTCCCCCCAGCACAGCTCTGGAAGGTTGTCTGGTGCAGACAGACACCCGCAAAGCCAGACCGGGGGCAGGAGAGCCAAGAAAGCTGCGTAATCCACTGGAAAGAACCATACCTGCCACGAAAAACCTCAGGACAGGAGTGTGGCCTCTGCCACTGTCACTCCAACGGCACTGACTCCACATGTGGCACTGTGGGAAAAGGTTAACCGACTCATTGGACAAACACTTTCTGAGCACCTACAACAAGCAGAGCAGCGGGCTAGATGATGCAACTATGGCACAGTTACAGTCCCTTCTATCAAGGAAGTTTCCATCTACAGTGCAAGAGGGAGAAGGATTAACAATTACAAAAGGTTGAGAAGCCTCAACATAATGTTAGGCAACAACCAAAGCCTGCCTAGTACCTGGAGCCCTGCCTTCCAAGTCCAAGTTCACGGGGTTGAGCCCTGTGGCCCACACCCAAGAGGCAGGCCTCTGCAGAGGTGAGGTCAAACTGAAGCCGGGGGAGGGGGGAGCAGCTCAACCTGGGGCTTTGGCAGAGAACGAGCCCGGCTCCCGGAGGGCCAGACGCTGATCTGACAGAGGAC